GTTGTTCAAATTTGTTAAAAAGTTTCCTCGCGTGCTAATATCAAGCAAGTAAACCAGATAATAAATGCGTGTTTGTGTAGTATGTGAATAAGTGTGAAGGTGGGAACGAGGGTGAAAACTTGTAAATCCATGATCAGGAGATTGTTCAATAATCGAAGCAGATAGAAGGAAAAGGTGGAGAGTTGCATGTTGTCCACTCCAACAAACTTTTTGCTTACGCCAGACAAAATCCGTGGCAANAAACATTTGTGCTATAGCGCATGGTACCTCTGCGGATTTAATTACAGTTCCTGGAATCTCGTTTTCCGCATTTGCATTTCACTCCCACAAAATTTTGAATATATGCATGCATGCGTTGCATTTCATTCGACGAGAAGCTTCCACTGTGAGGATTTCCTATAAAACAGGAAACTGTGGATCATGAATTTATCTCTCAAAAAGCTCTGAGTAAATTTAAATATGCGAATGTTGATTATTCTGAGAAGAACAACGAGCGACAAACATCAATGGATTCATGGAGTGGTTTTGTTGATTTTATTCAATTTTCCTCGTGGCACGAAACCCGCTGAAATTGTTTAACCTGTCAAATAGAATATGATTTATGAAGTTCTTCAGTTATTTCATTAATGAAAAAAAAATAACTCGGAGGCTGGAACAATCATGCGATGATTCAAGGATTTTATCTACCTCATCTCAATATTGGAAAGATTCCAAGAATGCGTGAGAAGGTGTCTTTTTTCCATTTGGCTCGGAAATGTATACCGGGGGGAAGATTCTGCTGAATATGCGATCATGGTTCTGGGTGCGATGCCTTGAAAAATGGGGCAACCCACGAGGTCTAGAGAAGAGATCCTGAGGCACGAGAACTGAGCTCTAGCTAGAGACTAATCGTACTGCCTTGCCTATTCCTTCTTCTCCTGATGTTTATATTCCCCTCAAGTATTCTCGTCTTTTCGAGGACATGCGAGGAATCCACGTACTTCTGCTTTGGGACACACGCAAAAAAATGTAAAAAAAATGCAACGATTTCTGGAATTTATAGAAAATAATAAGATCTCTATCCAATTGTTGAGGATTTTGAAAAAATAAAAATTCAGCTTCCATTTCAGCTGCCACGCTTTAACCATAAAAAAACGAAATGCTGTTGGGCATTTATGGAACAGAATGAAAGAACGTGTAATAACGTTTTAAAAAATCAGTGGAAAAAATGAAAACATAGACAATCAGCCAGTTTGAAGCCAAGAACGTGTACGCTATTCTAGGAAAATTGTCCTAGAATAATTTTTTTGTAATTTGATGGAAAATAAATGACTCAATTCACAAGTGTTTGACCTTTGTGTCGTGTTCACTCATTTTATTTAAACACGAGTTAGGTTAGTGTGTACATTTTGCGCTTATTTAAGTTTTTCATTACTTTCCTCTTTGCAGCAAGAGTAGACACTACTTCCATCACTGCATTCTATTTAAATGAAATGAAAGTTTAGAGGAGGAAAAAAAATTCACCGGATTTTTCCAGTGTATTCTCTCCACACAACAGAAGGTTTAGCGAGATACAAATTTTCTTTAAACAAGAGTTCAGGAAGCTTTTATGAGTTTATTTGACTGCCTTACAAACGAAGGTTGTCAATTAAGGTGACAAAAAACGACTTACAACAAGTTTAAACAATTTTTCAAAGGAGCGCACGATTATAGCCCTATAATAAAGTTACTTGCGTATCCTGTCGGTGTGTAACGCTTGATTCCATCCCTCCCGATGTATCCCCCTGTCTCCTTCCCAATAAGCCCCGCCCAAGCGCATGGCAGGCAGGAAATCATGAGAAAGGGCATTTCCCGGACAAAACAGGCACCCTCAAACCGCACAGCATAGCTGTGCGCGGTAGCACAGGTGGTAAGGTGGAGGGTAGCTTGACTCCAGGCTCTCTAAGGCCCCGGTTCAATCCCACCCCCCGGCATCATTTTTTCAAAATCGAAACCTATTTTCATTCATAACTTGCTGAATTTTTTAGAATAAAGTTTGTTTTTTTTGAGTTTTAAACAGTTTACAGTAACCGCATCCAACTAAAATTTTAAAATTCAACTTTCTCCAAGAAATTAAATATTATCATGAGTTAAACTTGAAACTTGGGAATTTTTTGTATCCTGACTCATTGGCTTTAAAAATGTGTCAAAAAATCAATCTTTGACAAAATTCAAATTTTCTTCAAATGTTGAATGCGCGCTCAAGTTTGCAGTATTTTCGTTTATTAAATGTTTGAAAATGTTGAAAATTGAATGAGATCTATGCAAATACGCAAAACTTTTTTCAGAAATTGTACGAAAATCGAGAAATCAACTTCATTTTTTAAATTTTGATTGATACAGTTTTCAACATTCTCTAATTTTAATCATGCCTGAATTTTTGAAACATCTGTCCCAACACAACCCTGTAAAAACATTTATTTTGTGCAAGTATTAAAAAAGTTAGAATGAGCTAAACTTTATAATTTCGAATTCCCATTTCTGCTTTTCTTCCTGTTATTCATATTTACAAGTTGGCCAAAAACTTAATTATCAACCAATTTTTGAATTGATTCATATGTTGCATGTGCAAATAATTTTTCTCAATGTCTGTGTTTTAAACATTAAAAAATTGTCATAATTGACAGAGTTACAAGCATAAAAGCAAAAATATTTTGGAAAAACATACAAGAATTGGTAAAAATGTTTTATTTTTTTGTACCTCAGCTAATTCAATTTCAAATATTTCTGAACAACAACAAAATGATGGAAAATCATGAAATATCAGTTTGCATGTTACCCTAATTTGTTTTTATTTCATCAATTTAAAAATTTAAATCAAATTAACAGAACAACTGGGAAATTTTTGAAATTTTCACTTACATTTTTTAATTTTTTGATTCAGCAATTATGAAAAATTTTCCATGAAAAATTTTTAAATGAGCCAAACTTCAGGACACACACACACACACACACTGACAGATTTACAGTATTAAAAACATTTTTAAAACTGAGTTGAAATCTAAAACAGGAGAATCTCTAAATTTCAAAATGCAGTTTTCAATTTTTAAATAAATACTTTTCTGCAAACAAAAATTGACAATAAGATTTGTTCTCAAGTCCTTCGAAAATACTCAAATAAACTGACGGAATGTTTGCTTCCAACAGTTAATTCCACTGTTTTTTGCTGAATGTTGTTCAAATTTGTTAAAAAGTTTCCTCGCGTGCTAATATCAAGCAAGTAAACCAGATAATAAATGCGTGTTTGTGTAGTATGTGAATAAGTGTGAAGGTGGGAACGAGGGTGAAAACTTGTAAATCCATGATCAGGAGATTGTTCAATAATCGAAGCAGATTCTTCCTTTTCCACCTCTCAACGTACAACAGGTGAGGTTGTTTGAAAAACGAATGCGGTCTGTTTTAGGCACCGTTGTGGAGTAGCGAGAAAACCTCGAACTAGGAGTTGAAAAAATAAAAAATAAATTATTTTTTGCTGAGGGAAAAAGAGCCTTTGGGGCCTTTCGTCTGCAAGTGGCGGCCCAATCATTTCGAGTGTCTGCCCCAGCAGTCGGATTTCCCTCCTTATGGCGCTCTTTTTTTTTTGGCAAAGGAAAGTTTTTCTTTGTATTGTACAGTATATTATCAATAAAGGAATTCTGCGAATGGAAATATCGATAGGAAAATAAGGGCAACTGCTGACGCATTAGTTGAAACCAAAGGAGTGGATTCTATCTCGTGAAATTTTTTTTTAGCTATGACGAGAGATTTAAAAAAAAGTTCACACAGCATGGATATTTTTAGAATTTGACAATGTTCTTAATAGCGAAATTCAGCATATTATCGGCACAGAGAAGAAACTCAATCAATAGAACACAATGCCATACACCGGTTTGGAGAGAATTTTGTTCGCCTCACTGTATATGCTAATTGATAATTCAGCAGTTCAATGACTTCGGTGATGAGCTTCTGCTGAAATTCACGAAGTGTTTCGACGGTTTTGAATTCATGTATAAAAATAAAACGACATGTGATTTGCATGCGCAAAAAAAAACTTCTCGTGTTTGAGAATGCAGTCTGCATACTGATGTGAATTTACATCCACTGGCGCAAAAAAATAAACATAAACTCAGACTGCAGTGAGGCTATTGTAGTAAATCGCACCAGCAGTTTATGCATCATGCAGTAACACTTGGATTGTTACAGCACCATGTCCAAAGTATTTGCATGTGTATGGATTGAGTGACTATCGGAATCAAAGTTTTCCCCATGCTTTGACACAATTTTGCAAACTTGATTCCGTCTTTGGAAAATAGCGATATGCGTATCCTGAGACTCGTGCCATTATCCGCCCTTTATTTGCACTAAATTTTAAATCTTCAACTGACAGGCAGGAAACCACAAATAAATGGGATTTTATAACGCAATTTTCTTTAGCGTTTATAGAACGAAATATAGAAGACTATTAAATACCAGCTCCGGATAAAACAAAAGAATGAAAACACATAATGACGATGAAAAGTTCCTTTATGGCTGACTGATAATTTCTGCAAACCAGCATCGGTCTGAGAAAAATAATGGGTTTAGGACCATTCATTCTCATTGAATGATCTGAAACCACAGTATATTTCAAAAATGAGAATGCCTAAATTTAAGTTTATACAGGACAGTACACCAATTGAAAATGACTTTGACTAATTTATTTCAATTGTTCGGATGAAAAAGATTTCTGCTATACTTGGTCCAGAATGTTCCATCATAATCTATAGTAAAATGCACACCTTAATTTCTGAAACTTTAAAAAATGTACACTTCTCCTCTCCCTTCTGTTGACAAATAACATAAAACCTTGCCAATGGGGGGTTTTTTTTCAAGAACTCAGAGGAAATTTCTGAAAAAGTCCTATGCAATATTTTCCTTCTCATGGAGCAAGTTATTCAACTTATCATGCTTTTTCGTTGGGATGATGGAGGAAGAAACCTTCATTCGTCCTGTGCATTTTGCAGAGAACTTCCCATGAGCCCAAGGCGCAAATTTCTTCTGGTCCTCGGAACCAGCGGGGGTCCGAAAGCGAATGGCCTGGTCGCGACGTCAGGCGCCGGCTGAATGCGAAGAATGAATGGGGGGCCTCGTTTGTTGCCCGGGCGTCGATTCCGAGGCGTGGGTTTGATCGTCGGCCTCTGCCTTTGGTACTTTTGCCCTCTGGCTGTCAAAGACCTCCTCTGTTCTTCAGAAAAAAAGCATATAAATAATTGAGAACCAAAAAATAAAAATAAAAATACTGAACATACGTATATATACGCACATCCGGAAGAAAAACTGGGTCGCTTATCTCGGTGCTGCTGCTACTGACGCTTCCGCAGCGTACTTACTTTTTCCCGTTTTGTTTAGGCCACTTGGGTTCGCTTCATCCGGAATGAAAAGGAAAACCCTCGTGCTGGGGAGAGGGGTTTTTTGTCTGCCAGGCACAGATTGGTCCTCATTACCGGCCCTGGGCTAGTGTTGCATGAAGCATCCGTTCGGTACAAAAGGCCCAAAAAATAAAGTAGACGAAAGCCCACTCTTCTGCGCTGACGAAGATTTATTTCCTTTTCCGGATGACGAAGAAAGCAGGCAATATTTATTCATTTCACGACACCTTCCTGATGGCGTCGTTTCATGACCACCGTCGTGAGGAGTGTCGTCATTTGGGTTCCCTTGACCCCGGGTTCTTATTTTTATGCTGAAAAAAAAAAGGTTGGCATGGTTTGCGTCGCAGTGCGACGCACGATGTTTGCATTATCCCAGGGCTTTTTGCAGCAACTCGCGAGTGTCATTAGGTGGACTGTTCGTGGGCAAGGCAATATTTTCCCCTGGTGTTTCGAACCATGGATGGCTTGTCTGGTTCAAATAAAACCATGGACGATTCATGTCTTTTGGGCGTTGGACAACCAGTGATGAATGGCTATTGGCACTGAATTATATTTTGTTTCCATCCTGTTGCTTTTTAACGCGGAATAATTGGACTCACCGAAGCATAGTTTCGGTCATCAGAAGGGGTTTCTTTTATTGTGAAGGTTGTTACTGCATTTCTTGGATAGAGCTAATATTTAAGTCAATCGGTTGTATAGCGAATGAAAAATATTTTCCTAGCGTAAAGAAATCGTGTAATCTTCCGATCTTACTATTGAGTTGAAATTTCTAATCTAAATTTAATCTTACTTGGAAGCAAAATCTCCGGAAACGGCAGGCTTTAAAAAAGTTAGAATATTCGTGGTACTGTATTTTCAAAATTTTACGAGGATTTCCATACCGTTGTACTGGAAAATGACCGATGAATTCGTTTTTGCTTGGACAGAAAATGTTTTCAGAGAGGAATTTTTAGGCAAACGAAGCATCGCTACTTAATCAGGAATGCTGTGTACCGTCATGTAGTAACAGACAAGGTGAATGTGAATGCCTGAGGTTTATACATTTTCCGGAGATGTCGCACCTTTTGCAACCTCATCGGCGAATCCCTTCGCAGATTGTGTAGATTTGTTTTGCATCGAAAGTTTCTGCCAATTTACAGTAAATGAGTGTTTAGTGAGTATTTTGATCTGCATATGACTTTTATACTTATTTGGTGAAAATTTCATATTTTAAAGCTACATGCGCGAGGTTTTGTCAACGCCTCATAAATATCAATACTGTACAACAGTAATTGTTAATATTAGAGCGTCCCCATCGTCTCGTAAAAGCCAGAAAAAGATTTGAGCATGTCACGCTCGTTAATAAAATATTTTCTTACTGGTATCTCTTTAATTTGTCTGAACTTTCCATTAACTTATTTTGATATTTCATTTTATTGAAAGAGTCTGTGCTCGCCGAATCATCAATTCATCAATGCTGAGTTCATCAATCTTGATTTATCTCTGATACTGCACCACTTCTTGAGATGATTAGTGGATCAATCCCGGCTTTTTTCTTCCAAGAAGGTTCTTGCCGGAAATCCTCAATTTACCCCCACATCATCACGCAACTCCATCAATTATTCTCAGCGTCAATCGTCGATGGATGTGGCAGTAAGAATAAAAACGAGAAAATTTCTGAGGTTGGCATATAGGGGAATGGGTACTCTATAGTGAGTGGGCACTAACGGTAAAAGGAACATCTGTTTGTGATACGTGAAGAGTGAATTTGAATCGGCTTGATCATTAACATCAGTCAAATCCCGAGGAAAAATTGGGCATGCGTTGGATGGTCAAGGTAAGAAGTGTCAACTTCCAACAAATTTAAAATGCCTCATTGCCAATTTTTGAAGATCAATCTGAAAATGTGAGTATATAGATATGGAATAAGTTATGACGAGCACTGCTGAAAACCAGGTTACCGACCGGTTCTCATTCAAGTGTCTGTCGGAGGACGATTTTTGTGCAATATAATGGGACAGTGCATAAATGAAATATATTATAATTGAAACATACTACTTTTCGCATTTTTCAATAAATATAATTCTTATTTTTTGAAACCCCGTTTCTCGCCGAGTTTCGCGCCATGATTGAGCGACTACTTAGCGACATCTAGATATGAAAGCAAAGCACAATTTCGGGGCTTTTCATGATGACATAGATGTCGCTGTGAACCCTTTCTTGCTCAGTCTCGCATCGCTGTAGCCCAAAATCGCGTGCTGATTCAAAATGTCTGTCAAGAGGAGGAATTTCAAGAATTAGTTTCCCGGCCGTTTTGTTTACTTTTGAGGTATAATGTTCAGTATCACTTGTTCCTTCATTGGGTCTGATAACGACTGATATCCTCACACGTTCCTGCTGGACAAGTACGGCAGAGGAATGAGGTGCAAGTGTATGGAGATCGATAAATACGTGATCATAGAGATGAAGTCTCATCCAACATGCGCATAAATTTCGAGTGTCCAGCTTCGTGACAGAGATGGAGATTATTCCGGACGATTCTCTTCCTTCCGTACACAGAGTGCTGGGAAAGTTCGTTTGAAGTTTCCAGATAAGATCTAGCTTCGCTCCCCCCCCCCCCCCCCCCCACCCCTCAGCACATGTCCCGTCTAATATGCAACTGGTTTCTTGATTGCCGTACCTGGGCCACATCTAGCACTATCATGGAATAAGGCTCCTGATGGTTCGGGCCGGTGTAGCAGCTTAGATGGCTCCTTTTCGTTGATGCTTCAAGTGTAAATTATTTGTATACAGTATATATCTACGATATTGTGCATTCAATCGGGGTTCTTGAGCGATGTTGATGCTCTATAGTCTTGTTCTCACTTTGTTTTACTCGTGGATATGAAAAAAGTGAAAAGTTTTGCAGAGGAATAACTGCACAGTAATTCTCCCTCCCGAATGTCACGCCATGTTTGCGAGAAATGATTTTCGCTAATAATTCCATCTGTCCATTTTGAATTCGATCAACAAGGAACGAACATTGTCTGGAATGGAGATTAATCCATATTGTTTTTTTTTTTCGGGGTAATGAAATCTTCCCAAATGTTAGTAAGCATACAACAGCCATGTTTGTGATTAACTTTGATCTTCACCTTGGATATGAATTTTTTTATATTCATACTCCCGTTAAACACGGTTATATTTCCAAAAACCTCTAAAATCAATGAAAAACTTCAGTGAATAAGAAAACATGGCGATCATTCGGTCTTTTTTTAAATCTAACAATAAGAGAAAAAACGCATTAATTGAATTTTTGAATTCATTATTTTGGGAATAAACAGGAATCCTAAAAACGAATTTAGAGGCATTTCTTCTTTGCACATGAACAGGCAACCTCTTCGTTTCCAAAGAAATGTATCAAGAAAATTTCAGAAAGATACTTATTTATTTGGTTCCTGGAACTTTCATATCCGCATTTAATGCCAGGCAGATGTCGCCTCCATCTCTAATGCGACAAAAATCATCAAACGTGAACTAACATGATCCATCCTGAAGAACTAATTGATTAAAATTCATAATTGAACATGATTAAAATTCGAATGTTTCCTTTTGCGGTTAATGTCGTCAATTACTTTCTTTCGATATTCTTTACTTCCTTTCGGCCGGAATCAGCTTTTATCGCACAGAAATAAATATTTTAAATTATAAGAAGCCTGGTGCGTAATGTTTAAAGTATCAGGCGACATCTGTGAATCAACACAGGAATTCGTAAGAGTCTTGTTAGCCAATGGCAGAGAACAAAACTCATTTTCATTCAAAGTTCCCTGTCTTCTGCTTCCATTTAACTTTCAACTTTGGGTTGCAAGTGATCCGGATCTGGAAAGTGAGCTGTTGATTCTACACCTTTTCGGAAAGTGCCGCAGACGCAACCCTGGCATTGGCGCACGCATAAATCGCGCTACTGCTGGAAGGCCTCTGGAAAGGTCCACGAGTCAGTCTCGTCAGTCTTTCTGCAGCACCGCTATGCTGCAGTCCATCGGAAATTTATGAATTATTCAAGATGGTTTTTGTACATACGAAGGTCCCTCACCTATTTTTCTTTTAATCCTAGACTGTTCATGTGAATAAATCTTCTGCATAGACAGAAAATTTTCTCGGAAATTCCCAACAGCGACTAAAATCCCGAAGATGCGGTTTTATGCGTGAAATTCCTCTTTAAAACGGAAGGAATTTAATCACATTTCCGACTTGGCTGGAGTCCATATCAAGCTATAAGATCCACTTCTTTTGATTTATTGAAGTCCTGTGATGTGCTCTTCTTTACAGTTGAAAAGATGATGACCAGGCATAAGCGCGGTTTTCCGGCTGTTCATACATTTTTATAATTTTTAATATTTATATCTATGTGTTCTGTATAATTCTGGCTGGGTTGAAGGATTTTCTTAAATTAAAACTCAGGCTATAGGGCAATCGGATCTACAATTTTCAGGAGGTCCCTGTTCTTTTAAGGACCACTTCCGCATCATCAACAGAAATAATTAATTCTGAATCGAATCGAATCGTGCCTTCGGAAGGTTGGTCAGTGTTGGAGCCGGGGTCTAGTGTGCTGTGAAATTATCGACACAGTGTTTGGATCAATGGAAGACAGGAGCAGACATTTGTGCTTTCTGACGACCATGACAGCTTCCCGAAGCTCAGAATTTCCGAGTGTTTCGTTGCTGAGTAATATTCGTCTCTCACGACCTCGTGATCGATTCATTGAATTGGATTCGCATCGGAAAAAGAATTAGCATCGGCAATTTTCTCGCGAGAAACGCGGAATCCCAAGGGAACAGATTTCCACATGATCGATTCCAGCGATGAAATTCATCAAAATATTTTCCAGAAATACCTCTGCAGGCTTTTCAATATTGTTTGAGTCCCGGTTTCAATCGACTTTGTCACGTTGTTACGAAGAAAAAATCATGTAAAAATAATGCGCATTTGCAGCAATGATTTCTTTTCATATTCAATATATACGAACATCTTTAATGCATATTCAGAGGGGTTGTTGAGATTAATGTCAAAAAATCGTTCTCACCAAGGTCTTACCACAGCTTCTTAGTTTTTTATCGTTAAGGATTCTCCTATTATAAATAATCATTAACGAAAACCACTGACTGATTCTTTGGTTTATTTCATAAATACAAAATTACTGTTTGAGACTAGGCGAGTCAGTGTAATTGCTAGTCAAATGTTCACAGACCAAGACCATTTTTAATTGTTTAAAAAATTACATTATACTCTTTTTAACTTTCAAACTGCTTATCCTTGCATACTACCACCATGCAAAAAAAAAAAAATCAACCATAAAATCCACCTGTTGTACGCTGTTCCGAAAATTTATCATTCCCTTGCGAGAATATGACTGCAAAAACTTCGCAGTCATTTTCCTTGGATCTACCAAACTTTGAATCCCCGTGC